GAAGCAACGGTAGGATAGGTTTAAAAATAGACATATATTCCTTATGTTGTACTTTTTAGGGGTTTCTTAGAGATACCCCTTATAGATAGGAAGAGATAAAGAATAAAAGAGGGATCTTCACTTTTGGATAAGAGAACATTATAAAGGGTGTACTATAAAGATTGTACAAAAATTGTCTTATTCACTGATGACATTGCTCAATATATGTTATTCAATTTTTGCTTGTAAGATCCAAAGATTCCTTATCTATCCTCACTTTCCATCATCACATGTTGCTGTCAAGAGGAAGAATCATCTAAGTCATATAATATTTGGGTGGTAAATTCCTTCTTATTATATTTACTGTCATTATCTACATTTATTTGCATGTTCTTATTATAACATTCATTGACAATCATTGAGAACATACCCAGTATTTACTACTCTCAAACACTGTCCATACCACTGATATCCTCCAGTATTAGATCTAGAATTTATTATGTTTAACTAGGATTCATCCTCTACTTTATCATTAATTAGTTTAATAAAAAGCTTGACACTTTTTGGTTAAACAATTTGGCATCGTCTGTAGGGAGGTTCTAGTTAAAATTTTAGTTCTTTCTAGATAAAAAAAACATCATCCATGTTTTTCTCGTTTGCACAAACTAACAATGGAAGGAAAAGGAGATGAAAGACTGAAAGTAGTAGTAGACGTCACTGCCAACCTCTTGAACACCATCAATGAGGTTGATAGAGAAGGCGAGGAGAACGCGACGCCGGGTGCTACACCCAGGCGGAGTGACTCACCTCCCCCATGGAAGTGTAACCGCTTCACGTGAAAGGGGAGCCTCCATATCCACAACCGAGGAAGCACCGCCAACAATCAAAAAACTACCGGAGACGTGGCTGACAAGCACTCTAAGCAACTTACTCAAAAAACCCATTCAACGAGCGAATAGAGATGTCATACAAAAGGATGTCACAGCAATCGCCGACGAGCAACCCACTCCCCCAACAGGTAACCCTCACACCGCTCTTGATGCAGATAATGATGCACTTGCGGCCATTCTAAAGAAAATGAAAGAAATGGAGAACGAGAATAAAGCACTCGGCGACTAGATAAGGGAACATCAAGAAAGGGTTGATAAGATACCTGGTGTTATATCTCGCGTTTTCGTACGTTAAAATTTCTTTTTCAGTTAACCGACGTAGACTCGAGGATGAGATAATCTTGACATTAACGTACTTACGCTATTTATAACAAGANCCCCCCCCCAAACGTGGCAAGAAGCCACAAACCTGAAAATAACTAAGTGGTCATAATTCTAGGTGGCTACCTATGAATAACATAATCAAGACATAAATATTAAGTCTTAGAAAGACTTGTCAAAAATCTTATCAATTCTGTCTTTAGCTTCAATTCATATCTTTGACTTAAATTCCTAAGAACTTTGAAACCAAGTCCTAAAAACGTTGAAACCAAATCATTTCGTGTCTTTGACTGGAAACCAAGAACTTTGAAACAAAAGTCATTTCGTCCAAATTCTTGCTAAAATTTCAATTTAGATTTCAAAGTGCAACCATAACTTCTTTTTAAAATTTCAAGAGATTCAAGCAGAATTTCGTTCAGCATATTTCATAGAAGCAGAAGCTTCATTTTTGTTCAAATAATTCCAGGAACAAGTATGTTAAGGCCCTCCCTTCTTTCTTTTGGCACAGTCTAAATTATACTAAAGAAATGAGCAAATACATAGTTTCCATAAATTGCTCTATTCATAGAAATAGTAGGGGTGTCTATATTCTTGATTCCCCATGAAAATTATTATTATCTTTTGTTCACGGGTTTCAGAATACTACGCAGTTGGAAAATGTTTATCCGGAAGGAATATTAAGATTTTTACATATTTTTCATGTATTTCACTTATTTATACAGGTGCATTGACCCATGACCAGATGACGTTATATACGCGTATATATGTAAATATATGTATATGGGGTATGGGAAAAGGTTACAGCGTTATATACGCACACCACCTGATCAGCAAGTATATGCTGATGATGTTGCCCCCAGTGGCCGAGACGATATGATGGGATGCCCTCAGTGGCTTGATGATATTATGTACACTCATTCCTATACATGGCACGAAATTTATACGCACGTGCATGACATTATAAACATTTCAGAATTTACAAAGTTATTCAGGTTTAAAGATGTGTTTCCTTATTCCATGTTTCATTTATGTCATTTACGTACTAATTTTCATGCCTTACATACTCAGTACATTTTTCGTACTCACGCCCTATTTCATGGGGCATGCGTTTCATGCCCGCAGGTGCAGGCAGGCAAGCTGACGGTCCCCCATTTTAGGATCCCTGATCAGCGAGAGTTGGCGTGCTCCACTTGATCCGGAGCTGCTTTTGATTTTGGTATGATACGTTTGTATATATATATGTATATGGGTATGACATGGCTCAGTCCTGTCTTTGTACAGTTATGTTTCTATTAGAGGTCTGTAGACAGTATGTCTAGTTGGGTTATATGTGGCCTTATCGGCTTTCAGTTTTGGATGAATAGTTGTCTATAGCAGCCTTTCCGGCTCGCCCACTGTATTCTACCTATATACGTACATATGCCTTGAAGGCGAGTTTCCTTCTTGCATGTTATTTTCGTAATTCAACAGATGTTATTCAGGTTCATATCTTAGACACATGCTTAGGGGTGTTTGACAGGTAGGACTCAGGCACCCGTCGCGGCCCATCGGTTTGGGTCATGACAAAAGTGGTATCAAAGTAGTTCTATCCTAGGGTTGTCTACAGATCGTGTCTAGTAGAGTCTTGTTTATGGGTGTGTTGTGCACCACACTTATAAACAGGAGGCTACAGGACATATAGGATGTTATCCTCTCTTTTTATCTCAGATCGTGCGATACAAGAATTCATGTTCCTAACAATATGCTATATTTTCAGCGATGCCTCCAAAGAGTATGACCGGCCAGAAGGGAAAGCCTGTGGCTGGTGAGACTACTAGTCGAGTGCCACGAGTTACCAAGGCTCGAGGAGAGTCTCATGGTGAGGTTCCATCTCAGAACTTCACATACCCCGCCCTTTCTAGAAGAGCTCCGAGGGGCACCAGCTCCAGCTCCCACCCCTGTACATTCAGCACCTCAGCCGGATGCACCGGGTTAAGAGATGAGAGGTGATATTCAGTTATTGACCCGATTAGTAGCCGCACAGGCTCGACATTAGGAAGTAGGTATTGGTCATGTAGATAGGTTTGTGAGCACGAGGGTTCGTGACTTTATTAATTTAGACCCTCCTGTATTCACTGGAGCAGATCCAAATGAGGACCCTCAGGTATTTATTGATGGAGTGTAGAGGACGTTATGGGTAATGAAGGCCACTGCGACTGAGTCAGTTGAGCTAGCTTCCTTTAGACTCCGAGATGTTGCAGTTAATTGGTACAAGTCTTTGGAATTGTCCAGAGGTGAGGATGCCCCTCCAGCAGTATGGCAGGAGTTTACAGAAGCTTTTCTTCGTCATTATCTGCCACTAGAGCTTAGGCAAGCCAGAATTGATAGGTTCTTGACCCTTCAACAGGGTAACATAAGTGTTCGAGAGTACAGTCTTCAGTTTGATTCGTTGTCTAGGTATGATCCCACTATTGTATCTAAGATAGAGGATCGAGTTCACCGGTTTGTGATGGGATTAGAGCCTCACTTGCTTAACGATTGTATGTCGGTCTCGCTTCAGCCAGACATGGATATTTCTCATATTCAGGATCATGTCCGTTTCTTACCAAATTTTACAGGCTCGACTTAAACATCATATAAGACCTGTACCGGGCTCCGGAACCAAAATACGGGCCCGATACTATCAAATTCAATTACATTCAAATTTCCAATAACTCTAGAATTTTGAGTTAAACAGTTTTCTTCAAAAATTCATTCCTCGGGCTTAGGACCTCGGAATTCGATTCCGGGTATACGCCTAAGTCCCATATGTTCCTACGGAGCCTCCGGGACCGTCAAATCAGGGATCCAGATCCGTTTACCCAAAATGTTGACCGAAGTCAACCCGAATTTATTTTAAAAGCAAAATTCATCATTTTTCACAGATTTTCACATAATGGCTTTCGGTTACACGTCCGGACTGCGCATGCAAATCGAGGTGAGACAAAAAGGAGGTTTTAAGGCCTTAGAACACAAAATTTATTTCTACAATAGGTGAGGACCTTTTGGATCATCCTAACCTCCAATTTATAGGAATATTGCAAAGTCACTAGTGAGCTACACAACCTTCCTTGCTCTCCTCTTGTGCTTCTTCCTCATTACATCCAATGGTTGGTACTTCTTTCATTGTCATTTCATTTCTGAATATTGTATGCGTATATTTTAATTCCAAGGGGTTAGTGTTTTCACAACAAAATAACGGTATATATACTCGCATTCCAAGCTAGTTGTAGTTGGTCTCTCTATAAAGATTTAGACTCAAAACTACGAAGATTCCAAGATATGTACACGCATAAAGAAAGTAATATACTGATCATTTCTAGTTCTTATCATTTTATTGTTCAGTTCCTACATTAGTTGAGATGTTTCTTGGCTCGAGGGTGATCAAACTCAGAGGCTAAGGCTGTTCAATTTGTGTGGTTTGCATTTATTTTCTTATCATTAATTTCAATATTAATGTGTTTTCTTAATTTTGACCAAGTTATAACATGTATCCTTAAAACCGCATATAAATTCAATTGTTATCCAATTTTAAGGATAAACACGTTCTTCACGTTCTTTTTTTAAATACAAATGTCCATCTTATAATAAAAAGAAAAAGGTGGATTAATTTAGTCAAAATTTAGCCAAATATTTAACTTGTATAAAATATCATTTGCTTCATTGCTTAGACTACTCGTTACTTCTTTGAATAGCCAACCAAGTTTCATTGGAAAAATTGACTAACCATTAAATAAATTGCCAGGCGTTGCTATAAATATCTGTCTTCCCATAATAGTTTTCATACACAAATCACTTCAAAGAAAATAGAAAGATCGTATTATATCCAAAATATAGGAATATGGCAAAGTCACTAGTGAGCTACACAACTTTCATTGCTCTCCTCTTGTGCTTCCTCCTCATTTCATCCAATGGTTGGCACTTCTTTCATTGTCATTTCGTTTGTGAATATTTTATGCATCTATTTTAACTCCAAAAATTAGTGTTTTTACGACAAAATAATGGCATATATACCCGACTACCAAGCTAGTTATAGTCGGTCTCTCTATAAGCTATCATAAAACGGCAGCTGTTACAATTGTAGCTGCATGAATCAAAGCAGACGACTAATATGACTACTAGCCTTCAAGCTCATTCCCTGAGACAAGACTTAGATTGCTCTTAATTCTTGGACAGACCGGAAAAGATGCAAAGCTAAGAGAGAGATGGTATTTGGACCAAAACTACAATCTTATATTACAAAAAGTTGCAAAGATTCATTATAAATTTATTAATTTTATGCTAGTTGTTAACTTGCTATAATCCTTTCATAGTACATGCAGCTAGCACCTAGCTATTCCTTTGCACGCTCATATACGAACTCGCTAATATGAAATGATTATCATTATTGTTATAACTTATGGTAAGAAACATATATTTCAACATTTTTTAGAAGAAATTTATATATATTCCAATTCAAATAAATGATTTTAACCAAAAAAACACACTTCTAATAAGTTTTTCCATGTAGAGATGCAAGCTGCCGAGGGCAAACTTTGCCGAAGGAAGAGCAAGATATTAGGTGGCTCTTGTTTGATTAACAGAAATTGTAACAAAGACTGCAAAGAGAAAGAGGGGGCAGAGAGGGGTATGTGCCTTAAAAACGACGTCTTTAGACACTATTGCTACTGCTTCCACAAGTGCAAATAAGTATCGAATGCTCTCAGAATTCTCGTTTCTTGTGTATGATAAATAAAAAGTGATATGTCGTCATGTGTGTGAAAGAATAAATATACTACCAATTCACTAGAATTGTAATGATTGTGAGAAAATATTACTAAATTATGTTTGTATTATCGTATTGTACGTACGATCGTTTTCTTTTGGTCCGTACGGTAGTTTTTGATAGGAAATGAAATAATCCAAATAATTTCAAGAAATTTTTTGTGGTTATTCTGACTAAGTTGGCTATTATGATTAATGTTAACATGTCGAAGAAATTTTGTTTCATTTAGCGTCGAGGAAAAAAAGACTACACTAAGGGTGTGTAGAGTATTCATAAATAATTTAGATACAATAAACATGAAGCCACAAACTTTCGAACCAACAACGTTCCGAACCCACAAATTTCATAAATTTTCGAACCGCTAAACTTTCGAACCCGTAAACTTCCAAACACATAAACCTTCGAACTCATAACTTTGGAACTTGTAAACCGAAAGATGAAAAAATTAAAACTAAAAATATATTTAAAAAACATTTCCAGGGGGCAGGGGCGAGGAGAGGGGGGATGTGCAGAAAAATGAAATAAAATGAAATTGGAAATTACAAAAAAAAAAATGAAAAAACATAAATTAGAAATTAGAAAAAAGAAATTAAAAAAATATTTTTTTTGTATGTGGAGGGGGGGCATGGGGTGGGGTTGGGTTGGTGGGTGTGGGGTATGGGGTGGATTGGTGAGAGTGGGGAATATGGTAGGAAAAGTTGAGAAGGAGTTTTGGAAAATGTTTTCCCTTCTCTTAATAATTAGGAAAATATTTTCCTTCAACCGGAGAAAAAAGATTTTACAAGGAAAATATTTTCCTAAATATTTAAACCAACTAAACATGGGAAAATTGGAAAACATTTCCGAAAAATATTTTCCTTTGAGTCAAACACACCCTTATAAGTAGTGTAATTATTAGTGCTAGAATCTACCATCAAGGTTTCATCAACTCGTGAAGCAAACTATTGCAGCATATATGGCGGTATACATTAGAAAGCAACTTCAACTCAACGACGCGGAATTTCTAAGGGTTATTACCAGAACCATTTTTTTTCTAAAAAAAAGTTCTCCGTTTCTATTCCAGTTTCATTATATAGTTTCTGTTCAAAACTATGACAAAAAAGAATTTAGTTAACATCGAAGCAAATAAACTGCTTATATACCCCGAATGTATTCACTACTTGATTTATTCATAAAATCATAAACTAAAGTTAATTTTAGCAGAACTGAGTTCATAAACAGAAAAACAATAAACAAGAAATGTTAGTTTACAAAAAAAAAAAAAAAAAAAAAAAAAAAAAAAAAAAAAAGACATACTTCCAAGCACACAAATATTTTATGTGTCCTTAAGAAATTTAAGTCCTTACTGTTTGTCACAACTCAAACACCCACAGGAGTCGTGACAGCACCTAACCCTACTTACTATGCAACCCAACAATTTCACAGTAACAATAAAACTCAAATAGCAGAACTTGATAATTTCAACAACAGTAATATCATAACATATCTAAAGATAACAATAATAACGTAACTACAACTATCCCAAAGATTTAATGTCAACAAGCACTGTTGAATCTGAAAATACAGAGTCAATACCCAATACACGATTGTCTGAATGATAGAACGATGATATCAAAAAAACTAGAAGAGGGCTTCAACGTCTACGAACGACATAATAGCTACCTCGCAGTCTCTATAAGTTGAAACTGGTGCAAACCTCTGCCAATCAGCGCACCACGACGTACCTGGATCTCCACATATAGTGTCGATTATAGTATGAGTACAACCTATTTCATGTACTAAAAAAGTAATAAACCTAACCTCGGATTGAAGCAGTGACAAACTCGAAAGAAAGCCAGGGTCAAACACCAAATTCACTAATAACTCGTAATATAATGAAAAAAGTAAAAGTAAATAACACAAAAGATATCATCTTTAGCTCGTTCACATTTACCGAAAAAATAAATATGCTTTCCAATTATGACAGTCAAAGCCCAATCATTCTCAAAAATCACTAAAATATGAGTTTAACAAGGAAATTATGATTTCTAAACTTTCGACAACAAATAAGTCAATTCATTTACCAGCTAGAATAATATGCAGAGACTGAGATATAACATGCATGTGAAGAATTATGACTTAGAATATGACCATAATCAAGGCAAACAACTCAAAATAACAAGAATAGCTCTATCACGTCTCAAACAACTATGCATATATCCTACACGTAATTTTTAAAGTGAATCATAGCTGAAATTATCATTCAGGTAGAGAAAACACGAATATAACAAGCCATGAAAGAAAACTAGTCTCGTAGTAGCCTAAAGTCTATAGAATAATAAATACCCCAATGTACGCACACACGCCTATCACCTAGCACGTTTGTCACCCCCCAACATGTCTCATATATCATAGTTCGTAGGGATAATTACCCTCAAACCAAGTTTAGATATGTTACTTACCTCAAGCTCATGAATCAATCCCACACGAATAGACCTTCGAGCGACTCAATCTAGTTAAAGCAACTCAATATCATCAATAACAGACTTAGAAAACAAGCCCAAACAATAAAGTTATGATTGAGTCAATTACGCAAAGTCAACCCAATATTTAGCCCCGGGCCCGCACCCCAAAACCCATCAAAACCCATAAATACCAAACATCCATTCCGATACGAGTCTATATGTATGTGTTTTGTCAAAATCCAACCTTAAATCGACCCTCAAATCATCAATTTTTACTCTCCATATTCATAGTAAAAAATCCCCAAATTTCACCTTTAATTCACTTAAATTAGGTGTAAAAATTCAGGGGTAAACAATATCTAACAGCAACATTAAGTAAATTTCACTTACCTCTTCAATTGTAGTGAAAAGTCTCTCAACCATCGCCTCTAGCTGAGCTCTACAACTCCAAATAATGAAAAACGATCAAGCCCTGCGACATATAAAGTCTTCCTAGGGATTTCGCATTTGCGGTCCTCATCGCACCTACTGTACCACATCTGTGGAAATTCCATCGCAGACGCGGAAGCTACTAATCTCCTGACCATATGCTGTTGTGGACCCTCCATTCACACTTGCGAGTCCACATTTGCGGAATCCTATCGCTCATGTGCATGCATATCTACGCTCAAGTGTCGCATCTGCGGACTTTCTCTGCCAGGACTGCATTGTATGACACATCACGAGCCTTCTTGTCTGTATAACACTTCTGCCAGGACTGCATTGTATGAAGCCGCTCCTGAATCAGCTTCACTTTCTCCAAAGCATCATAGACCAAATAACTGCCATACAATCTAGCCTCCCCATGCTCAAACAAATCAACCGAAGAGAGACATGGCCTCCCATATAAGGCCTCATAAGGAGCCATCTGGATACTCGACTGATAGGTGTTGCTGTAGGAGAACTCTGCTAATGGTAGAAACTAATCCCATAATCCCCTAAAATCAATGACACATGTTCACAATATGTCCTCCAATATCTAAATAGTACACTCAGACTACCCACCTGTCTGGGGATGAAATGCAGTACTCAGCTCGACCCGTATGCCCAACTCACGCTACACTACCCTAAAAAAATGCAACGTAATATGTGGGCCTCGATCCGAGATAATAGACACGAGCATACCATGAAGGGAAACAATCACACGAAGATAATTTCGAGGTAGTTGCTTTGAAGAATAGGCAGTCATGACTGGAACAAAGTGTGCAGACTTGGTCAGTCTCCATAATAACCCAAACTACATTAAATCTATTCAAAGTCCGGGGAAGCCGAACTACAAAATCCATAGTGATATGCTCCCACTTCTACTCCAGAATATCTAGCCTCTGAAGAAAACTACCCAATCTCTGGTGCTCGTACTTCACCTATTGACAATTCAAACACCGAGCAACACACTCAACAATATCCTTCTTCATCATCTGCCACCAATAGTGCTACCTCAACTCCTGTTACATCTTTGTAGAACTGGGATGAATGAAATACCACATACTATGGGCCTTCTCAAGTATCAACTCTTTCAACCCATCGACATTAGGCATACAAATAAGGCCCTAGAGTCTCAATACTTTATCATCACCAATAGTAACCTCATTGGCATCACTATGCGACACAGTGTCCTATAGGAACAAGCAAGTGGGGATCAACATATTGACGCGCCCTGATGCACTCAAACAAAGATGACTGTGATACAACACAAGCAAGAACCTTGATAGGCTCCAAAATATCCATCCTCATGAACCTGTTGGCCAAAGCCTGAACATTAAAAGCTAACGGTTGCTCCCCAGTTGGAATAAAAGCAAGGCTCTCCATGCTCTCAGCTTTCTTACTCAAAGCATTAGCCCCCACATTGGCCTTCCCCGAATAATAAATAATGGTGATATCATAGTCCTTTAGTAGCTCTAACAACCTTCGCCCACCAATTCTTGGTAGAGCCATGAACCGGAAACACTACAAAGTTAACCCGTTGGACTCCACTATACCCATGTTCTACAATACCTCATGGTAACAGTCCAAGAAATCCTAGGGGTCCTCAGAAGGCGTAGCAGTAAAGTAGATGGGAAAAATATTGGTGAAGTTTTCCAATATCTTCAGCCCCTTATCTAACATTGTGGATCTCTTTCCGGGCTATGTAGTAACAACAGGCTAAACTGCCCCAACCGGTAGACCTACTGGGGTTGATACCCATAAGCCATCTGCTCTAAAGCGAGAGTAGAATGAGTCTAAGCTCCTCCCGCAGCCTGATAAACAACTGGTGCAATTGAAATATACCGGCATGGGACACACTTTCCATGAGGAAAACCAAGCGGACTAGGGCGTCTTGAAGTACTACGGTAGTAATGAACTCCACTGGGAGCTGAGCTGGTCCTACTGGCTCGATCAAAATAGGGATCTCCTCTTCCTACTCGATCTGAGGCTCAACATCAAATGTCGTTACACGTTCTCTAGGCCGAGCTCTACCTCTACCTCTGGCTTTGCCTCGGTCATGGACTCTACCCCTAGTAGTGGTTGCAGTCTGGGGCTCTGGATCCTGATCAGCTAAACATGTCCTCACCATCCGGGAGAAAATAGAAGAATAAAGGTTGAGGCTTTGGAATCACCAAAATCGCACGACAAGAATGCAAGAAAGTGAAGTTTCCTAATAGTTTAGTAGCCTCTCGAACATAAGTACAGGCGTCTCCATACTGATCCTCA